GGCAGAGGAAGGGACATACGTCTTCTGTCATCTGATTTATTTAAAGGCATTTTATGGTTTTCGACCTCACCATTAGGTAACTATTATATTATTTATGTAAATACATGTGTGGCTTACAAACTGTTTAATGTAATGAAGCTAAGATGTAAAGATAACAAGAGTAACTTGACAGGCAAAAATTGGTAATGTAAAGAGGAATCATTGGGATTTATACGCAAAACCAGACGCCTCCATTAATCCGTACAATTTGAAAACAAATCCGTACAATTTTAGGGTTAAAAAAATCAATCCGTACAATCCGTACATTTTGGCCACCCTGAAATTATAGTCCCCCCGCCCATGTACTCACTACTTAGAAAACAGGCCCCTTGTCAAGAAAATTTATCTATTTCTCAATATTTATTAAAATTGTTTCCAGATTACAAAGAAAAAGACCCTTTCCAAGCTCTAATAATAGTCTAATTTTGAAAAATTCCAATGAGAAAAAAAGGTTCAAGGGTTTAAAACTGAACAACCAACCTTCGTATCCATGTTGATCTTGTCGTTGATACCGAATTTACATTCAGGCATTCCAGACAAGTAGCTTTTCATCACTACTTTACCAGCTACATGGGCAGATAACACCTGTATAGAGCATAAATAAATATACACTTATACACTACTTTACCAGCTACATGGGCAGATAACACCTATATAAAGCGTACATAAATATACACTTTTCATCACTACTTTACCAGCTACATGGGCAGATAACACCTGTATAAAGCGTACATAAATATACACTTTTCATCACTACTTTACCAGCTACATGGGCAGATAACACCTGTATAAAGCGTACATAAATATACACTTTTCATCACTACTTTTCCAGCTACATGGGCAGAGAACACCTGTATAGCGTACATAAATATACACTTTTCATCACTACTTTACAAGCTACATGGGCAGATAACACCTGTATAAAGCGTACATATATATACACTTTTCATCACTACTTTACCAGCTACATAGGCAGATAACACCTATATAGAGCGTACATTTTACACTTATACACTAATACAGTGTATATTTGTATATAGGTTAGCTATAGCTGGCCAAACGGCTGGACGAGAGGAGGAAGGCCAACCACATCAATCTCTAGTCCGAACCACATTCTCCTCATTTTCCTCATTTTTTCGTCCGAACCACCTCGAAGTCCTCGTCCTTTCAATAGTATTTTTTTGAAGTGTCTAATCCTTCCAGATAAAACTATTTTTAAAGAATCGGACAACGTTAGGGCATAAATGAAATATAAAATTTTTGTAAATCGAAAAAAAAGTTTCAATTGAATTAAAGATTTCAAGTTTAATGTCTTTAGAAATGTTCACCTTTTTTACGCGCATTTTCAGATATTCCTGGTGTAGAATGTCGCAAATAATTCCAAGTTTATGGAACTTCAATCTTTTTTTGTTAACTTTAGTGTAAACCATAGAATTTTTCCGGGTGGTTCCATGGGGAAAATTAAAGGCAGGGGTATGCCGAATATTTTGCTATTTTTTTCATATCACGAAGGTTAGCCATTACGGAGGCAGACGAGATTTAAGTTTTACCTAAATAAAGTTTGACATCATTCTCATGGGTTTGAAGATTCCAACATGATTTAATCATTGCAATACTTTAGTCCATCCATATTTTATGCCCTAACGTGGCCAGATTTTTAAAAAATAGTTTTATCTTCAAGACTTGGAAACTTTTTAACAAATAATAATCGAAGGACGAGGATTCCGAGGTGGTTCGGACGAGAAAATGAGGAGAATGTGGTTCGGACTAGAGATTGATGTGGTTGGCCTTCCTCCCCTCGCTGGACCATATAATAAATATTAACATAAAAACAGTTTTTGGTTTTTGATTTGCTTTTCAACATTTCCAGATTTCACTATGTTGCGAAGTATAATGATTAACTGAGGAGAATAAGATTTTTTTACAAATATTCCTATCATCTAAACTGGAATAATGTTTGTTCATTTACACATGGACTATAGGCGTAATTTTAAGTGACCCTCCATTTTATGAGTGGTGTGTACTGTTTAGTTCACACTGTACGCATGGTATATCGGGGTTTACAGCAATTCTACCAGTTTTATAGAGATTTACACAGGGAGATCTCTGTACACGGTGAACAGTCAAAGGTTTAATGGGTACCGTTGTAAATCGGACGTTGACCTTTTTGCATGGAGGGTCACTTGAATTTATGCTTTCAGTCCCTTTAACGAAGGATAGGTTTGGAAAGAATAATATTTTTGCATAAATGAAATTGTCTCCCAACCCCTGGACTCAGGGGCGTTGTCAGGAATTTGTCGAGATGGGGGGGCTTAACATTTTTTTTCTTTTGAAGGGGGAGGCTCAGCAACCGCCGGCCGCTTAAAACCATAGATTTCACTGATCCAAAGGGGGCTAAGCCCCCAAGCCCCCCACCCCTTGAATACGCCATCTGTCCTTAAGGGGATATGAGTAGGTTGACGTTCTCTAGTACATCAAGGAAGAGCTCATTCTTCCTGTACTTGATACCCTCCCTCCTCCAACCCCTGGACTCACCTGTCCTTGTGGAGACATGAGTAGGTTAACGTACTCCAGTACATCAAGGAACAGCTCGTTCCTCCTGTACTTGATACCCTCCCTCCTCCAACCAATCTGTCCTGTCACCTAAACATATGTTTATTAAAAGGTTCACACATAAATAGGATCGATATAACAAACATTCATTTGTCAAATGTTCATTTGGACAAAGGTTTAAAGCGAATATACATATATTGATGAACAGAATCTAAAATGCAAAGGGGAAATTAAACCTGGCTGGTGATGGCGGCCTGCTCCTCCTTGCTTGCGGACTTTACACCTTGCTGAGTAATGAAGGTCTTCAGTACCCCGGTATCAGTATTCTGGGGGTATCTAGGTAATGTATAGAGGGATTATTGGGGGTACCTAGGTATTCGAGATAATTGGGGGTATCTAGGTATGTAGGGATTATTTGGGGTATCTAGGTTTACAGGGATCATTTGGGGTATCTAGGCATAAAGGAATTTTTGGTGGTTTCTAGGTGTATACAGGAATTATTGGCGTAACTAGGTATACAGCGATTATTGGGGTTATCTAGGTATACAGCGATTATTAGGGTTATCTAGGTATATAGCGATTATTAGGGTTGTCTAGGTATACAGCGATTATTAGGGTTATCTAGACATGTAGGTATTTTTATTGATGCGTAAATTGAGCGCAATGGACTATGGAAAGGGGAAGGGGCGGGATTTACCCGAAGTCGACGATTTCGTCGAGAAGCTCGTAGATGAGGACGAAGTTGTTCTTAACGTTCTCCTCGGAGATCTTCCCGAAATAGTTCTGCATCACCTCAACAAACTGAACAAACAGATTGATTCAGGGGTATAAATCGGAAACAATATGTTAATTAATAATATAGAAATGCATCATTGTTCTAGTAGAGGGGGGGGGGAGCACTTTATGAATTATTGGCTTAAAACTGGGTTGAATCCGATAAATGCTAAATCTTTATTCAAAATTATATCTCTCCTCTCCAATATTATCTATTTTTCGGGGTTGAACTCTTGTGACAAATAAAAAAATCCATGAAACAATTGTAGGAATATAAAAATTCAAATTAATGACCTTTTATTTTAATTTAATTTAAATTTAATTTTGAGATTCTCTCTCGTGGTCATTTTTTAAAGTTTGCGCTCTTGTCTCTTAATTTTATATTACCTTTAACAGGAACTCGAAAACCATCGCGGCATTTACATTCTGTTTAGTGACCGCGGCAAGCCAGAGGTTGGACCTCTTAATGTGGAAGAACGAGGTCCTGGCAATGTTGGTCACTGGGGACCTCACCTAATAAAATGAAGGAAATTGTCAATGAAAGTCACAATCATTATTAAAAGAAGTTTTGCTCCTGTGAGAGGAAATCAATTGTCAGGTCAATTATTTATTGATGGAGGTAATATTTCTGATAGTTGTGACGAATGAACGAAAAGTTACGATTTCAATGATAGATAATGAAAATGAATGACACTAACCTGCTGCCTAGCATGGATGACATTAACCCTAAAGGCATCCACAGCATTTCGTCCAATATCATCCCTTAAGTAAGAAAACTGTAAAACTGCGAATATGAAGACGACATAAAGGATCTTTTATTATTTAAAATATCCAGATGAACCATATAGCAACTGCATGCATGCACACTGTCCTCCGACTAAATTCACTTCAGTTAATTTATAAGCTAGGTACACTCTAGAGCTGACGACCTCCAACACTGATGACCCTGGAGATGACGACCTACCCCCTACCCCTGACGACCCTAAATATGACAACATTCCCATTCAAAATCCATACCTGTAGACCCTAGAAATGACAACCTCCCCTACCTGTAGACCCTAGAAATGGCAACCTCCCCTACTCCCTACCTGTAGAACCTAAAAAAGGACCTCCACTACCCCTACCTGTAGATTCTAGAAATAATGACCTCCCCTACCCCTACCTGTAGACTCTAGAGATCAGGACCTCCCCCTTATGATTGTAACAAAACAATCCACCGATCATTGTCAAGCTTAGACTTGCATTCACTCTGAAACAACCAGTCAGCATATCACACCAATCAATGATAACGTATAACAAGTTACTAAACTCTTCAGATAATAAAATTTACATACATTTTTCAAACATTTCAATATTTTTCAACGGAAAATTGCAATTTTATGGGAGAATGTTTTAATTGTTATAAAAATATCCATTTTTCCCTTTTCCTCTCCATAATTTTTGCAAAAATGTGCCACTACAAACTAACTGCAAGTTCTATTGATCTGGACTAAGTACATTTGCTTATTTAAATGGAATGTGAATTGAAAGAGCAGTGTAATTAGCACGAATTTTAAAAATTGATAATAAGTCTAGGAGAGAGGAGGGAAATAATTTAAGACATTTTTACTTTAAAATATTGCGAATATTAAATTTATTAACAGTTACGGATTGTATGGTTAAGATTTGTGGGTTAATTAAAGAGAAAAATGCAAAAAAAAAAAACATTTTTTACAATCAAAATGAGAAACTAATGAATTTTTTTTTGTAAAAACAAGTTTTTCAGTGCAAAGATATTTTGGCTCCCCCAAGTCTGATCCTAAAATATGTGCGGATCAACGGATCGAATCCAAAAAGCGTATTACTTAGCATTTAGAGAATCAGAATGTAATAGATCCTAAGCTCTGGTTCCTGGCAAGAACAGTGTAAAAAATACCCTTTACAGTTTACGAAACTAAGAGCAATAAAAGCACTGAGCTTCTAAACCTGAAAACTTTAGAATTGGATTCGTTTAATCCCAACAGCTTAGCCTGAATATCCGATGTAGACACTTTAAATTTCATTCTTAATCCGCTGTTTTTCTTTCTTTTCTCTCCCTGACAGTTTTTGACCAATGAGAATTCTCCAATAAAATGGCGCCCAAAATTTCAAATTTCCCGGTTGCTCAATTTGGCTGTTCTGGTTTCTCCAATTGATATCTCCATTGATCTCGATATCCACATTTCTAAAGTTTTCAGCACAGTCATCTTTAATAATTTCCATACCAAATATTAATATGAGAAATTGTATCGCTCTGAATTAGTTTTTCAAATAAAATAAAACTTGTTAAACCGAACAAATGCAATGCAATGACAAAAATTAAGTAAAATCAAACTTAAATGGTGTAACCCGGTATAAATGACTTTTTTTAACAATCGATCAATGTTCAGTTTCATGGCACATTACTTATAGCAGCCCTTGTGTAAAAATATAACTACGTACATTGTACAGTGTACAATGTACTGTACGTCTTCTGTGCTGTACAATACGTATAAACCCTAAATTGTAAATTTTATGAAATAAATAAGGAAACGGATAAAATAGCTGGTAATAGGTAATGTACAAAATTTTACTATTTGCTAATACATCCTGAACATACATGTCAGTGTACAGTGTACACATTTATACATCATGTACAGATCCTTTTCTTCTCGCAGATTTTCTTTCCTCGATCCCAAAACTTAAGATGTCGTCCTCACTCCCCCTACTAGCTATATCACTCCCCCTACTAGCTAGATCACTCCCCCGGCTGGCAACATCACTGCCCCCAATGGCAATATCACTGCCCTCAATGGCAATATCACTTCCTCCAATAGCGACATCACTCCCCCTACAGGCTATATCACTCCCAGTCTCGTCACTACGGGAGGTAGTACTCCCATCCTCCCCAACATACCAATGCTGTCCTTCAAAACTAGTTTCAGCAACACTGGCCTTCCTAAAAATATTTAGTAATTAGAAGATAAACAAAATTATAAATAAGCGGAAAACAAAATTCTTAATTTTCGAGTTCGAAATTAGCGGACACACATTTCACAAAATTCGTAATTAGTAGACATACAAAATACTAAATGAGAAAACAAAATAATGGAGTTTTGATCAAACTTAACATATCTTTAAAGCTAAATATTCTTTTCTACTCAGCTCAGTAAAACTTTTATAATTATAATTATAAAAATCACAAAATTGATACATTACATGAAAACGATTATAATAAAAGCTTAAGATAAATCAGACGCGCGTCGTGCAAGGTGTCTTTAAAGCTGAGTATTAAAAATCAAGAAAGTCGCACAAATTGAATTTACCCCCCCCCCCCCCCCCCCGCGCTTAAAGAGAGTGGCTTGCTAGACATTGTAGTTGAGCTGAAAGTGCAGTAAGAATTGATGAAATATTACAAACGACTTCACGCTCATTTTAAAAATTGTACACCGTAAAAATGTCTCAAATGTATTAAATGAATCCAGTTTTTCTCTACAATACTGCACTTTCAGCTCAACTACTTTGTCTAGCAAGGGACTCCCTTTAACTCCTAACCCGTAACTGTTACCTAATATTAGATTCTTGATCTCGTCTTGGTATTGGCTGCATAGGTATACTGTCAGGTAGAGGACTTGGTTCCCTAGATAATAAGAAAAAAAAGATAATAAAATACACTAGATTGGACACAATATATAAAAAGAGATAAAAAATAATAAAATACACTAGATAGCAGATAGATTACAAAATCACAGTAGATAGAACAGCAGATAGATAGTACAAAATACACTAGATAGCAGATAGATTACAAAATCACAGTAGATAGAACAGCAGATAGATAGTACAAAATACACTAGATAGCAGATAGATTACAAAATCACAGTAGATAGAACAGCAGATAGATAGTACAAAATACACTAGATAGCAGATAGATTACAGAATTACAGTAGATAGAAAAGCAGATAGATAGTACAAAATACACTAGATAGCAGATAGATTACAGAATTACAGTAGATAGAACAGCAGATAGATAGTACAAAATACACTAGATTTTACAGTAGATAAAAAAATATTACAAAAATTCAGTAGATATATACTAGACAGTGCTTAACCCTAAAAAGACTGGGCTAGGGGGCGTTTGACGCTCCCCCCTCTATTTCTTTCACTAGCACACTCGTTTTTGACACTATCACTGTGAATCAAAGAATTTAAATGGTAGGGTACAGGGAGGTAAAAAGGTGTCACATCTTGTGTCACATCTTGATATTTGTCCAAAAAAACAAAAACAAAATTACTTTTTAGATTTTCCTAACCCTTTTTGGCATTTTATAACCCTTGATAGTTCAGTAAATAGATAGTACAAAATACATTAGTTAGGACTGCATATAAAAAGTACATAAGCATATAATTCTATATGTACTATATGTAAAAGAATATCTAAATAAACGAATGTCTTGCTTTATTATATAGAATAATCTTATGAGGATAAAAATGTAATAATGGAATTCTTAAACTTGATAAAATAATCTTGATGCATTTTCCATAATTACATTTTTTCCTCACAAGATTATCTAATTATCCAATTAGCCACTTCGATCTAGATCACATAAAATTGCAAAATTATATTAATATTTGAACTAATCTCAAAATTATATTAATATTGAGTTGAGCTTATCTCTAAATCACATTGGACAGGTTTATATTAAATTGGTTTTCTATAAGCGAGCAAAAAAAACTTCAAAACTTGAAAACAGCAAAATCAAAAATTTTATCGCTTACTTGAGCGAATTTTTTTTCGATTGTTTACTTTATCCAAATTCATACATACTTGGCTTGCTTGCTTGTCTGTTCGTTTGTATCCATTAAACATCATACCAGTTAACCTATTGCACTCAAATTTTTTGTGGGACCTCACATGACCCCAGGGAAGGTTTATGGGTGCTCATAAAAATAAAAATAAATTTATCCGCCAAATTCTTTTTAATTGTTTAATCAAAGAGGAAATGCTGAAAGATTGAGTGCTCTAATAGCCTAGTTAGCAAAATTTCCGATTATATAAAAAGTCTACCTAGAAGCATTTCTAGTTGACCTTCTTGGCGAGAGCTTCCTGTGCACAGCTCTGAAAAACCATAATTCAGTGTTCAATGTCTGAGACTTAAAAAGCGACTTATACTTTGGTGTTCTCTTTTGGGATAACTGTATAACTTAATCCGTATAAATACAAAAGATACGGATTAGGGCTTAATAAAGGGATTAAAATAGAAAAGTTAAGACCTCAGTTTAAATTGTAATATTTATGTTAGGTAAATTTGACCGTGTCCTAAATGGCTGTTAAAAAAGTTAAAATAATCTTTATTTGTCAAGATTCTTAGGAAAAAACAAAAATTGAATCAAAAAAAATAATTTCGGTTTGATTTCTACCTTCTATCCCCAGGCCGGAGTAGTGAGGCGGAACCAGGTACCCGGAACCCTGAATAGACAAATCTTATTTATCTCCAGTTTTTAGAGACAAGGACTGTCCCCGTGGTTTAAATGGCACTTCATTTACACAGTTGCATTACACGATTTTCTACGGTACCTAAATCGTCATTGAGGAAGATATCTCTATCTTGACGAATTATGTCAATTTTCTACATTGCATTTGACGCGTAAAAGCGCAAGTCACTTTTGTAAAGATACCACAATTAAAACTTTCAATGTTTCAGATATAAAAATATTTTATAGATTATTTTTGTTGGGACAAGAGTTGGTAATCACCTGATGCCATTGTGCTCTTAGCATGTAACTATTTAAATTGAAAGTCACCTAAAACTACGTTCATAGTCCCTTTTAAGTCACTAAGAACGATTTCTGGAGCAGCAGTGTAAATAAAAGGATTAACTGAATATTTGAAAGACAAACAATACATATATAAATTAATAAAACAGTCGAAATACTGTGGCAAAATAAAAACGCCTTTTAATATCTGTATCTGTTGTGTGTACACTGTACATCTCAATTAGCATGGAAGCATGGACATTGGACAATCGTTAAACAATTCTCTAGATTGCCACCTCACCCTCCCACCCTGCATCAGCTACCTGACTCAAAAATAGGTCTGTAGCCAGAGGAACGTCCAGAGGGTGTGGAAGATTGTGGATCTACGGGCGTTCCTCCTCCATCTCTAGGGGAGTGTCCAGCACTGCTTGCTAACCGGGTACGCCTACTCTCCTTCCTGGGAAAAATGTCTTATAAATAAAGAATTTCCAATAATAAGTTTGCTACCTAAGAANAACGAAAAATAAAGTAAAAATTATACAGTAATTTAATTAGATTTAGGAACATATTTTTTTAAAAGAAATTTGTCAATAAATCAATGCTAAAATCAATTGTTTCGTTTTCATTATTATATTGAATTTCTTATCTTCTTTGAATTTATTCGCAGATTTCTTCAAATTCTTCAAATGTCGTCTTTTTAATAATAATCCTAGAAAATCTGCAAAAATCTTTGTGAATAATGAGAAACCAGAATAATGAGAAAATAGAAACTAATAATTGAACAAGATTACTTATTTTCGTTGATAAGATTAAATTTTTTTTCTCAACATGTTCCTATACATGACGTCTGTAGTTTAATGTTGAACTTTATAAAATTTTATGTCTTCGTTTTTTAATAATTAAAAAAAAAAACTAATTCTGAAAACGTATCCACCCCCAAAGTAGGAGTTTTGAACGTCGAATTTGCGCTCAAACTCAGGATGTACAGACAAACAAAGTTTAATATGTCTCAAATGAAACTGCATACTCAGTTTAACTACCTTACATAGCCGGTCACTCCCTTTAATGCTGCGAATGTTTATGACATGATTTGATTTAATTAATTTAAGTACAAATGGTTCAGTAAAAATGTTGGAAGATCTAGTTTGCATAAAAAAAGAGCCTGACGTTGTAAGAAAAGAAAGTTTTTATTGTGTGTGTATATGTTTCCTTGAATCCTCCTTATCACTCATCACCTCCAGGTCTTGAAGGTATCCAGAGTATCTAGAAACTCCCCAACCCAACCTATTAATTATCAAGGATTGAAGGTATCTATCTAGTAACTCCCCAACCCAACCTAATAATTATCAATTTGAAGGTATCCGAGTATAAATCCCAACCCAACCTAATATTCATCAAGGATTGAAGGTATCTATCTAGTAACTCCCAAACCCAACCAAATACTTATCAATGATTGAATGTATCTATCTAGTAACTCCCAAACCCAACCAAATACTTATCTAGGTTTGAAGGTATCTATCTAGTAACTCTCCAACCCAACCTAATATGTATAAAGGTTTGAAGGTATCCGAGTATAAATCCCAACCCAACCTAATACTTATCAAGGATTGAAGGTATCCTAGTATAAATCCCAACCCAACCTAATACTTATCAAGGATTGAAGGTATCTATTTAGTAACTCCCCAACCCAACCTAATATTTATCAAGGATTGAAGGTATCCGAGTATAACTTCCCAACCCAACCTAATAATTATCAAGGCTTGAAGGTATCCGAGTATAACTCCCAAACCCAACCAAATATTTATCAAGGATTGAAGGTATCCGAGTATAACTCCCCAACCCAACCTAATATTTATCAAGGTTTGAAGGTATCCGAGTATAACTCCCCAACCCAACCTAATATTTATCAAGGTTTGAAGGTATCAGAGTATAACTCCCCAACCCAACCTAATAATTATCAAGGATTGAAGGTATCCGAGTATAACTCCCAAACCCAACCAAATAATTATCAAGGATTGAAGGTATCTTTAAGTAACTCCCAAACCCAACCTAATATTTATAAAGGATTGAAGGTATCTATCTAGTAACTCCCCAACCCAACCAAATAATTATCAAGGGTTGAAGGTATCCGAGTATAACTCCCAACCCAACCTATGTATGAACAGAAAAAACACAGAAAGACAGGTTGACCTACAAGCTGCATGAACCTGAACTGAACTATGAGTATCTGGATCTATTAGTATAAGAAATAAACAGAAAAGCAGGTTGACCTCTAAATAAACTGACCTATGAGCGTCTGGTTCTATCAGTATAATCTGAAGTGAGTCCACGACAAGAAACCTCCGCTGCTTTGTTCCATCCTATAAAAAATTTAAATTATAAACTCTATTTAAATTCAATGAATTTAAAATAACTCATAACTAATTTACTACTGCTAACCCTTCTCATTATTTTAAATAATTTATTTTATGGATCCAGAGTTAAATCCGGGGTGCAGGAAACCTCACTAGAGCCTGAAATGGAAACCTTCTCAGATTTAAAAGTTAATCTTCTAAATATAGAGTTCAGTCGATGAAGCTAATCCATATTTCAAACAGAAGTTTTAACCACTTGTCATTTCTTTCAATTGTTTCCTCTTGTACATCGGAATTGAATATGATTAGTAGATAACAGACAGAAAACAATTGTTAAACTTGCCTTGTATTCAACAGTAAGTGCCAAAAGATCAGAATTGTTAAGATCCAAGACAGATCCTTCACTTACACAGCTATCAGAGCTAAATATAAAAAGAATGAAACAGCCAACCAAAAATTTGCAGGTTTATTTATTTCAATTTTCAATATTTTGCATACTGTTTTTAATCAAGTTCTGAGCTGAAACCGAACAACCTTTATAATTTAAAAGACGCAAGTGCTGAAAGACTCAAGTATTTTTGTAAGAATAAACGTCAAATCCTGGGAACCAATCATACACAAACGTTTGTGGAAATTCGCATAATCCCGGAAAGGATTTTGGTCAACACTAACATTAAAAAATTTAAATTTTTTGGATATCCGCAGATGAAAACATAAAAATCCATTAAAATTTTGAAGTTATAGGATGTAAAATGAAAAGTGGTGGCTTTTTAAAACAACATTTAAAAGGCAAAATTGTTACTAGAAAATCATGCACGGAGCGCCCGGAAAGCATTGTACTTGAATATTAACCTGGATAAGGGTAAACTGGTCTCATGTTCTCCTTGCAGACTTAGAGATATATCCCGGAGTAAGAAAAACGTCCTAACCAAAAAAATACATAAATTAAAAATTACATGGCGAAAAAAAGAATATTGAAAGAAATCCAACAACACTAAAATTAAGAAATAATCTGTTTATCCTGAATGTTGAGTTTCTCTAAAAAGAGAATCGGTTCAACCAACCAAGCATAAATAGTTAAACTTCTTATTGATAATTGATAATAGTGCAGAATTGTAAATTTAGATACTTTTATGATTTTTTAAATTTTTTTTTCAGGACTGAAGGTGTAATTTCAAGTGACCCTCAATTAAAAGAGGGCAACGTCTGATTTACAAGGGTACCCTTGAAACCTTTATTTCGACCAATAATGTGGAAGATATTGTTGTAAATTTCTAAGTTTAACACTATTTAATTCTTATAATTCCAATATCGTTTCTTGCAAAAAAAAATCCGCGCGTAAGTTTTTAAGAGAACCAAATTGAAAATAATCAGTTTTCAATCTCATAACCATTATTATCTAATTGTGGCGCGATTGTAATAATCGGCCCATTTCCCCTTCTGAAAGGTATTTGTTTTCATCTTAACAACATTTTTTATTTCATGTTCTGAATGTTACTATCGGAGACAACATTGCTGCTGAAGAAGACGATATTCAGAATCGTGAATAATGAAGTCCTAGTCCTCTCTCTCTTCTCTATGAACAATGAACTGTACACTGTGTACAGAGTACATTGTGTACACATCACACAAGGACTGATGTGTCAATCTAATCAAAACTTTGCAAGTGAAAGAATGTATTGTTAGTGTCCCGTTTTTGGTTTTGTTGTTTATTTTAAAGTATTAAATCCAAATAATCTTTTCAGAATATTTATAATATATAAAGGCCATGATTAAAACTTGCTAAGAAGGGCATTTTGTAAAGGTAATATTCGGAAATATTAAACACATTTATTTGCGGTTTGTTTTGATTTACTAATCTTGGATTTTACTTTAGAATTGTCTCGATCTATGGAGTAAGAGGCTGAGCATATTCAGCAATCTACTCCCATCGTAAATTCTGTACTTTGTTCGCAAGATAAAAGTCCGCCGATAATATATTGTATATTTACAGAAGATCCGGTTAACATGAATACCGACTTGAACCGGAAATATTTTGACACCACCAGGTAGGAATCAAGTTTTACAAAAAGGGGCTTGAGTATCTCCCCCCCCCCCCCGTGCGTGAGGGGGTCATTCTAATCGCGCCACAATTCTTTACAAAAAAGCTTTGTCGGCTTCTTACTGGTGCCGAGTGTCAAAATATTTTATAAAAATGATTAAGTGTAATACTTGTCATTTTTCGGTTTAATAAATAAACGTAATGTTTAATTGATTTTTGTAAGCACTCGCCAAAGTCTCGGCAATCTGTTAACAAGATTGTCACAGGTACAGTTAATTCAGTGTAATACTGATTACTGTACACAGTATTCCATACAACTTACAAAACACACTAAATTAGTTCTAAAACATTTAGTGAACACAAGTTACCTCCCTGGTATAAGGGCTACAGTTTCTAGTGAATTAGTGAAAAATAATTTGTTAAAAAAAAAAAAAATATTTCAAATTACCCAGCTAACAAATAACGTGCTGGCAAACTGAAACAGAGTGAGAATAAAATTATATTTGTCCTGAGCATTTCAGCAAACCAAATCATATTCACAGTGTAATACTGGAATAGTTTTTTTTTGGTGTCTTGAAAATTATTTTCAAATTACCCAGCTAACAAAAATATATTTGTCCTGAGCATTTCAGCAAACCAAATCATATTCACAGTGTAATACTGGAGTAGTTTTTTTTGGCGTCTTGAAAATTATTTTCAAATTACCCAGCTAACAAAATCTTGGGAGGAAAGTTAAACTTTGATCATTAGACCTACACCTTTGTACATCATAGCTGCTTTAGGCACTGTGACTATCTTCTGGTGTTCCCTGCATATTTCTGAGAAACTTCTTTGGTCATAGCCATGCCTCTAGCTACAAGAAGTCAATCAAAAGATAAGCCATTGGTACAATTACCTGGAGGAAATAGAAGAACCTCAGTGAACTCGAATCAGCATCTCTTTAATGAACCTCAGAACCCATCTCAACAAACCCATGATAATTTTACTACTAATATGGAGACTGCAGTAGATAGCCCTAACAGTTCTCAAGCTGAAACTGTTGTACCAGATAAACAAATTGGGGGAACAAGTTCAGGTTTCACTAGCATTGGCATTCTTTCTCCACCTAGAAATACTTCTACACCAGCAGCTGGTCAAAGTGGTGACCCAGATGACCATGGACTTACTGTCAATACTATTAATGAAGGACTTGGCAACACAGTGGTTGGGAACAACCAACATGAGTATAATCTTTGGCAAGGGAGTGAAATACTCCACCTAAGAGTTGTTTCTCAGGAGGAAGCCCTCAACTACCTTCAGGATTTGAAAGTAAAAGTAGAATGGTTTGGTTTAGAGCTAATGAGGCAAGACAATTGGGAAATTATCTCTGATATTGCTGGAAATCAAATATTCGAGCGATTTAGCATGCTTGATGAAATATTAAGAATCTCCAACTTTGATGAGTTGGTATCTGATATACAGGGAGTTCAGGCCAGATTTGAAGTTTACAGAACTCATGTTAATACTGCAATGTTAGCCAGTGGCCCTCCCTCTACAATCCCCAGTCGATGCACCTCTCCAGCTATTACCTCACCTGAAATAGATGGTTACAACACGAGACCTAGTTTCTTATTAGGTAATGTACCTAATATTATTATCAGACCTGACTCAGATAAATCTGTTACACAGAGAGGAGCTAGGTCTTTTGAGAATCTCTCCTTATCAAGATCTGTCCAGGTTCAGAATCTTCGTGAGAGGCTACGTCAGCTCACTGATACAAAATGTGATCGCAATGAGATGAGAAAGCAGTATAGAAGTACAACCAATAAAATTGCTGAGCTTGAGGATTGCATTAAGCATCAGCAAGAAACCATCCGTAGAATGGAGGAAAAGTTTACTAACTTGGAGAACACAGTTCATGCTTATCAGGAGCAACTAGAAAGTATCCCAGAGATGCAAGAACTCATAATGGAATTCACTGCTCAAATGGATGATGCATTGGATATTCTTGAATCTGATCGACGAGATAATGGAGCAGCAGGACAAGTGAATCAATACACTGTTGATGGTATTGCCAAAACACAGGCTGATCTGCGTAGAGATGTTGCAAAGCTTAACGCAGACATGGCTCAGATTCAGCTAAGATTGAATCAAAGGAATAGATTAGAAACAGCTTCAAGGCACCTTCCTCGCCATGACAAAAATCAGCAACGTCCTTCTGTGTCCCATGTTTCAAAGACACAATCCAGATCTCCATTCTATTCAACCTCATCAACCACATCACCACCTTTGCCAAGGACTCATTATGAAAATCCTTCAGGTATTGTGCCTCTAAGGCGATCCCGAGGGTTTTATAGAGATCCAAATGCAGGCAGTACTCATGATGCAGAACTGGTAGCATTAAATGGTCACCGTGATAGAAATCCACCTATCAACGGACAGGACCCCTCGCAGGCAAGGCATGATCAAGCAACAGGTCCTCCTGAACATGTTGGTTATCACTCTCATTCTTCAACCTCAAGTATCACTTCTTCTCAGAATAAGGAATATAATACGATCCTGAACATAACTCAGCGTAATGCTGGTTACGTACAAGGATATCCCACTGGTCATCCTCTTCAAGCTGGAGATCCTCAGGCTCAAGAAGGAAATTGTCATCTGCAGAGGGAACATACTTCTTCCAGTAGTAATGAGCAGAATCGCAGAGCAAGAAGAAGTGTTAGGAACATTGCCAGTCAATGTCGAAGATTGAGGTCTCTACTGGAAGCTGAAATTAACAATGAGCTTTCCAAAAGCCATGTACAAGACCTGCTCAAGATGACCCTGCCATTTGTCAATGATCTAAAAAAGGAACTCAAAAAGGAAATAGATAATTACTCATCTCTACCAGATTCCTGTGTTGACAACGCCATCATTGATATGGGAGAGGACTTAATGGATGAGGCTCATAATTGGGCTATTCAACTCAAGAATGTCTACACTGCCATTGATTGCGGTAAACCTTCACTTGATGGAAAGCTGTTCGAGGGATTGAAACAGTTCACAGAAAGTTCTGAACTCTCAGTCTTTGAGTTTATTAAGAAATTTGAGAGATATACAGCAGACAAGGGATCAAAGCAACAGAAAGCTGCCCTTCTGTATGATCAGTACTTGGAGAAAACTCTACAATTGAAAGCTGTTGATCTAAGACACAACTATGATGGGTTAACCAGTTGGTTATGTTCCCATTATGGCAAGCCACGAGTTATGTCTAAGAACTTACTCAAGGCACTTCCATCATCTACTCCTCCTGCAGATTCAACGGTTACTTCAGGACTGGCTAATTATTACAGGTCATTGAAAGCTGCTGTAAAAAGGATACAGGAACTGAAGGATATACCTGAGATGTCAGAGGATATGTACACTAACTGGGTAGAAAGTACAGACTTTTTAGACCTGTTGGTAGGCAAGCTACCTAGAAAAGCTAAAGATAAATTCTTCACTTTGATGGTAGCCAATGGCAAAGATGTAGATAACCTTCATGGCATTGAAGTTTTTGAACTGATTGTTGAGACTGTGAAGGCCAACTCTAAGATAACTGAAGCTATGTGGAAAAGTGGCCATGAAGAACCTTCCAGATCTAAGACAAAGGAACCTACTTCTCCAAAGGTAAGTAATAGAGCTCATGCCACTATTGTTGGGAGCCCTCAACAGCAATCTCCTACAGTCCATGTATCTGCTTCGTCTCCTCCCCCTAAGTCTAAGGACAACAGTAAGTCAAAGTCTAAAGACAAAACTAAGGATGGAAAACTAACTACTTCTATCAGGCCCAACTCAAAATGTGAGTTTCCATGTGTTTTTGAAAGACATACTCATGAGTTGGGTGCCTGCAGATCATTTCTTACTGCAGGATGTAGAGCTAGGCTAGATTTAGCCTTAGGCAAGTTTTGTCTAACATGCCTCAAACCAAGGGACATATGTGACAGAAAGTGTGCTAACCGTGTTCCAGATGCCATGAAATGCAAGAAGTGCGGAGACAACCCCAAACTAAAGCATTACCCTCCAAGATGTGTTCTGTTCTGCTTTGATGATACTCACAAGGATGACATTGATGTTGCTGTGTTTGCTAGTGCTCTGGAAGGCTATCTCAAAGGAATAGTTACAGGTAGCATTGACGGTAACGTCCTACTAGAAATTGATTGACTATCTGCCCACACTGTTACCATCTGCAAAAACTGCCAGGATGATGTTTGTGCTTGTAAACGTCGCTGTCTCACAAGATCTCCTAATCCTGGTCAACCAACCCCTAGTTTTGACACTGAGACCGGCATGCTTCAAGCTATAAGTCCAAGCAATATCATTCCTCAATCTGGTGATGATACTACGTTTATTCTTCAGTTCATAATGCTGGGAGACCAATCCTGTATGACGTTTTATGATACAGGTGCTGATTTCCACCTCATTAAAGGGGAAATTGCAGAAAAAGCTGGGTTAAAAATTGTATCAGATCGGCCAACAATGGTTGGACACCTTGGGGGAGGTGCTATGTGGACCTCTTATGGTATCTACACAGTTAATCTTGGACCCACAGTAGATGGTCACTATTTTCAGGTCACTGCACAAGGCATTACCAAAGTGACTGCACCATTTAAACATTACAACTTGAGTAATGTGAACAAAGAAGCAATTGCCTCTAATAAACTGCCAAAAGGATGTGTTCTTCCGAAATCAGTTGGAGGTATTGATGCTGGCTTGCTTATTGGAGTAAGGGCTACTGGACTTTGCCCATCCTTATTGTTTCAGCTCCCTAATGGGCTGGGAGTTTATGAATCAGCTATCAAAGATAAGTGGGGTTCTCTCATCTGTTATGGGGGCCCTCATAGATGTTTTTCTAATGCAAATGTATCTGTGAAGGGCAAAGTAAAATATATATCTGTGTACTTTGCCAAACTGGTTTCCCAGTACAGATCATCACCATATGTTCAGCTGAACCACAGAACTGCTAAGGAGTCTACTGAACAGCTTCCTGGTATTTATATCTCATCTTCTACAAGTGTGTTTGAAAACTGTAAAGATGAAGACATTGCTGAGCTATTTACTGACATGTTATTAGACCAGGATTCTCATGGAATTAATTTGGATGTGGAGGAAATCTCCAATCCATGTACTTTCAATATTGAGAAGTGTTGTTGCATACATATTTGCAATTTGGTTCAAGATTTTCCTTCCTATATCAGCGTTTATAAAGCTAAAGTTCCTGTTTCAAAAAGAAAGGGATACATAGATGAAGAAGATCTGTGGCAAGATACATCTCCAAGGTGTGAAGACTGCACCATTTGCCCAAGATGTGGATCTTCGGCTAAAGCTCGTATGATCTCAATCCAAGAGCGATTTGAACAATCTGCTATAGAACGTTCAATCACGTTAAATCTTGAAGACAAAAGGGTAGAAGTGGAACTTCCATTTGTCAAAGACCCTGTTGAACATCTGAAAGCTAGACACAATGGTGAGGATAGCAACTTCCGCCAGGCCAGTCGAATCTTCAAGTCAAACTGTAATAAAAGTAAAGAAGCTAGAGAATGTCTTATTAGAGTTCATCAAGAGCTGGTCAATAAGAATTTTATGTGTAAATTAGAAGATCTTCCAAGAGAACATCAGGACATCATCAAGAAAGCCCCATTCAAGCATTACATGCCCTGGAACTGTGTCCAAAAACCAGACAGTGCTAGTACACCGTACAGGATGACAGCTGATGCATCTATCACTGGTTTAAATGAAATTCTAGCAAAGGGTGTTAATACTCTAACAATTATTCCTGAAATGCTTATGCGAAATAGGACTAAAAAGTTAATTTTTGCATCAGACATATCAAAACTGTACAATCAGCTACATCTGAAACCCTCTGCATTGCCCTATGGTCTATTCTTGTTTAATGATGACCTTGATGCATCTAAACCTGCTGACACCTATGTTATGATAGTGGCTTGGTATGGTGTTACCAGCACTGGTAACCAAGCAGCGGCTGCACTGGATATGCTGACTAAATCCCTTGAATCAGAGTTTCCTTTGGCTAGAGAGGTCATCAAAAAAGATGTATATGTTGACGACACATTATCTGGAAGCAACTCTCATGAGATATTTGAGGAACAAATCCGTCAGACTAAAGAATGTTTGTCTCGTGGTGGATTCAGTCTTAAGTTTGTAGCAAAATCCAGTGAACCTCTTCCAGCAGAAGCTAGTGCTGATGGGGAAACTATGAAGATATTAGGATACAAGTGGAACTCCACTTCTGATGTCTTGTCACCAGGATTCATGGAAGTGAACTTTAACAAGAAGAGAAGAGGTGCAAAACGTCCAAACCCGTTTCCTGTTTCTAATTCTGCAGACATTGCAAAACTACTTGAGTCTTTGAAGATTACCCGGAGACTGGTAACAGCTAAAGTGGCAGAAGTATGGGATCCAGCAGGACTTTGGGAAGCCTATAAACTTCAATTGAAGTTGGATACCAGATTATTAAATGGTTATGAATGGGATGAAGAAATTGACCTGTTACACCAGGAGTCTTGGAAATCAAGATTTACAGAACTTCTTCAGCTACCATTCATGTGTGCTCCCAGATGTATAGTACCTGCTGACGCAGTCAATCCAGATGCTATTCGAATAATTTGTACTGCAGATGCTTCATTAGATGCCGGTGGATGTGCTATTTATGCAGGGTTTGAACGAGCCAATGGATCATTTAGCAGCGATTTGTTCTATTCCAGGTCCAAACTAATGTCCAACTCAGTACCTTGCAATGAACTGGAAGCTATCAGGCTCATGGCAGACTCTGCAATTAATGTGAAAAGAGCTTTAGTTAACAGGATCAGTGAAATCATTTATGTTACTGACTCTACTATTGCCATGTGTTGGTGCCATAACACCACAAAGAGGCTAAGAATGTTCATGTTATCTCGTGTTTCAGAGATACGCCGAAATATTTTAGGCAAAACATTTTCAGCTGATCAGGATACATTAGAGCTATATCATATTGATGGACAAGTGAATCCTGCTGACTTGGTAACCAAGCAACATGATATCCAACCATCAGATATAGGTGAACATTCCATTTGGCAATCTGGCTATCCTTGGATGACTCGTCTCAAGAAGGATATGAACCTCACCTCATTCAAAGATCTAACAGTAGACAAAGACGTTGAAGCGCTGGTTGATACTGAATGTTTCCCTGAACCTATTATGTCTGAGAAATCCAATATTTCAGCACACTGTTTTACAGCACAGCTTAACCATGATCATTGTTGTGGCTGCTTTCAACCAGAGATCTTTATCTCAGTTGACATATGTCAGGGCATTACTGATCCCTTAGAACACTGTGATGATTGTTCTTGCACTCCTGTATTTTCTTCATTCGCCCTTTCTGCGGCAGGGGACTCGGCAGCACTCGTGAAAGTGTTATATTTTGGATGGAAGAAATCTCTCAAGATAATAGCTTATGCATACAACTTCATCTTTTCCACGAAGCACAAAGTCCATGTCAAGAATGGGTTGATGTATGACAGCAACTGCAAAGTGTGCGAAACTGACAAATCTGTTACCCATCCTGAGAAATTCTTTAAGTTGTTCAGACTTGAAAGTATGGACTATTGGTTCAGGCTTGAATCGGATGTGGTAGCAATTACCCTTCCCATCAGTCAAACCAAGAATTTTTTGAAGAGAAATGGTATTTTCTATTATGAGTCCAGAATAGTCACAGAAGCCACAATTGCAGACCTAGACTTAAAAGACACTTTCTTTGATTCTCCTGATATCCTCAAGTTACTACCAGTAGTGAGGGCACAATCCGAAATGTTCCTAGCAATTCTTCTACATGTACATTATTATGTCAGACCACATTCTGGCGTAGAAACAACAATGAGAGAGATCTGTAGGTCAGTTTGGCCAGTTGGCAATCCTAGAAAAGTTGTACAGCGTGTTAGGAAAGATTGTTCCTATTGCAGAAAGATGAACAAGACGACTCTAGAGTTAGGAATGATGAATCATCTAGCTGCTAGAACTACTTTATCACCACCATTCTATTTCTGTCAGGCAGATGTTGTTTATGGATTTAGAGCACAGACATTCAAAAATGCAAGGAAGCCCATGGAAGCCTATGCTCTTATTATCTGTTGTATTCTTACTGGAGCTGTTAACATACTTTGTCTGGAAGGAATGTCAACTCGAGATATACTTATTGCATTTGAAAGGCATGCAGCAAGGTATGGGCTTATGGCTGAACTATTTGTTGACAATGGATGTCAACTTATTGCCCTTAAGAATGCATCTGCATTTATCAAGCCACAGTTTACTCCTGAATTTGAAGCTGCCAGGGTGAATTTACAGGATTCTTATGGATTCAAGGTCAATGTATCCAATCCTAAGTCTCATCAGGAACGAGGTAGAATAGAGGCAAGAGTATGCATCATGAGAAGCATGCTGGAGAAAGTTCAGGCTAATACTGACACTCCACTCACTTATTTGCAGTGGGAAACACTCTTTTCCAAAATTTCAGTAATGATAAATGATCTGCCAATTGCCAAGACCTCTCGGTCTAATGTCAGTGACCCGCTGTGGGATATTATCACCCCCAATAGATTGATCCTTGGGAGAAATAGCAATCGCACAATTGAAGGATGGATATCATTAGATAAAGGCGCAGATCTTGAGCATCTAATGAGGAAGAATGAGTCAATACTAAACACTTGGTATACAGTGTTTTCTCAACGACTACACCATCTCATTCCCAGACCAGCTAAATGGGGGAAAACGGATCCTGTCAATGTTGGAGATTCAGTACTTTTCTTGTTCACTGAAACCCCTGGTAGCAAGCCAAATCAGTGGAAGTTGGGAATAATTAAGGCAATTCCAAAGATTAACAGTGTGGAGATTGAATATGTATTAAATCCTTCTAAGAAAGGTGTTCCCACAAAGTCAACACTGTTAAGATGCCCAAGAGATGTCTGCATAATAGCAGCTGCTAATGAGTTCCCATTAGGTTCTAATCTGTACTTTGAACAGATCATAGGAGAACTGTTACCAAGTGAATGATACAGTGAAAAGACACTAGAAACAATAAAGTAGAAATAATGTAGTGAAAAGACACTTAAAATAATTAAAATTTGGTGTCTCCCTGTTATTAAAGGTGTGGATTTCACCAAAGTGATACCTAATGGCATCCCACTACTGGATGTACTGTACACTGATATCCTTAGAAGTGATCATGGATACAAACTCCCACCGGTAAGCCATGTAAAAACTATGATGGACAATAGATCCATTGATTTACCAAGATTGTTTCTTGCCGGTAACGTGACAGTGAAAGAGATCGATCTTGTTCGATCAAGTAGTGAGGAAAGTTGCCAGTTCATCCTATGGATGACCAAATTTCATTTGGATAACCAACGAGACTTTCCATCTGGAATGCTGTCGGTTGATGTAGAGGACTTTGTAATCCCCAGTGAAGCCATCTTTAAGCTGCAGAAGGCTGTTCACAATCAGACTGGTGAAGGGGTGCCAGCAAAACTGACTCCTTATGGTGCAAAGGACACCATTGGGGTTCCTGCAAGAATAATTGTGGGAGATGGTATCCAATGGTTTGGATCCATCAGATTTCCTTGGAATGACCACCCTAACCATAAAAAATCAATCATCATGGACTCTACCCCCATCACTGAAGATAATGAGCTCTTACGCCATCTCTTCTCCTACACTTGGGTTGGTCAGGGTATTCAGAATGATCGAAATAACCTTATGGATTTCTTCTCAATTATCTACAAATTAAACATGGATATGCCAAAGGTTGTGGAACTAGATGCACTAGCTCTTGCAGCAGGTTGGAGATTGGATTATTCCAATATGTTCGTAATGAACCTAGTCTGCTGTGGTGGCCTACTGAACAAGCATGTGTCCAGAGCTGACAATCTGTGGTATAAACCCTACCTGGATCTCCCTGAGTGTCTTCAGGCTTACATTATAGGTGATGTAAGGTGTGGGTATATCTGTCATGTAGTCCTTTCATCCCTTCTTATCCGGGACTTATTCCCAGATATTGATGTGGTATGTTCTTCACTTGAACTGCTTCCTGAGCAATGGATTGGATATTTCAACACCATTCTGGTTAATGTACTTGCTGAGAAGAGTATTTACCAAGAGGCTAAAAAGAAAGCTGAGACTCGGAAAGACATGCTCTTATCCCTGAGAGAGTATGATAATAGCTGTAGCCCCAGAATTATCAAGAAAGAAGTTGATTCTAGATTAGAAACATTTGCAAAACTTCTGCCTGTTTGGCCAACTGTGCCATATGGAGGTGCTCGTAGCCTGCATCAAGTGGTGAACTGGTTCTCTGATGTGCAAGTTCTTGTCCTAAAGGAGCTTGATGTCCCTCACTCTCGATTTACTCCTGTATTGGACAGGAGCGTCTCCATCCCATTGCTTGAATTTAGTCAAAGTTGCAAGAAAATGGTGTTTGGAAGATCCAAGGATCCAAAGATTCTTACTAGACAGCAAGCTGTATCCAAACCTGGATTAGTTGCTGATACTATGTATGAAAATCAGAAATTTGAGATTCCCATTAATGACTTATCTTTGGAGCCACTAAAGGTGAGTGCTGAAATGGCAGGGACTGGAATAGCTGATGGTATCCTTGAAACCTGTAGACTCTACCCACACATCATTCCTGAACTCTTGACCGCCATTGGCAAGATCAAACCTAATACACCTGCCTTTACCTTTTGGGAACGCAAGTGTGGTCTATATGATAGGATTAGGCAAATGTACAGGAATCTTCACTCCATGGAGGCGCCAATTGTGAAGTGTATGGAGGACTTCATAAGAAAGAAGAGAGTCAGGGTTCTGAATGTTGAGGTAACAAGCCGCCATAACAGCAAAAGGGTGGAAAGGAAGATAGTTATTGCTGCCCTTAGTAGACGTGCTGAGGAGACTGGAGCTGGTAGATTCGACCTGCAGAAAAGGGCATATCAAATTGTACCGAGACCCAACCCTGAGAATGCTAGAAAGAGAGCTAGAGCTCAGGAAAGAAAAGAGCTGGAGGATAAGAACCTAATAAAGAGACATAGAGTTCATGACAAAACATCCAAGGTAACACTTACACTCAATAAGGAGGAAGCACTAAGTTTATCTGAACTCTCTGATGTTCCCACCCTTGATCAGAACGTAACGTATTCAGAATCAAGCAGCCGCCCAAGGTCACCATCTCCAGTGATTCAAGAATTTCATCATGATATGGAACACCTAAGTAGGGTAGAGGCTAGAGATAATACCATTTATCACAAGATCAGGTTTTTGAGCCCATCTATCCCTATGAGGCAGAGAGCTCCTGGACCGCGTTACAAGAGCAGTAATTGCAGTCGCTCCCAACTACCATTCCCTAGAGAAATAACTCCCCCTAGAATATCTGTTAGTGAAACTATGACTTCTGGAGATTTAAATGAGACTAGAGAAGTCAGGAGACTACCTGATTCACCCGAACCAGTCAAGAGTAGAATTGGTAAAAGAGCCAACGATTGGCACAGAGGGAAATCCTCTTCCCAGTCGGAGGTGTCTTCCAGTGTTTTCTCCCGATTAGGCCCCAGACCCTATCAATCAAGCTCCCGCACCTATTCTCCTCCTCGTGATTGGTCCTACCATGTAGGAATAGAGGATACTCCACGAGTACAGCGTACTCCCATGACTGATTTTGGATATAAGAAAAAGAAGAAAAGTCGTCCTCACTTCAACTCTTCTCATCACCAGGACTTTGAAGACGAGTATGTATCTGTTGCCGCTAAACTTGCTGGCATAAAATACCAACGAAGATGGAAATGAGCAGCCCTTTGCCGGGGAATGTGGCGCGATTGTAATAATCGGCCCATTTCCCCTTCTGAAAGGTATTTGTTTTCATCTTAACAACATTTTTTATTTCATGTTCTGAATGTTACTTGAGGATCGCTGGAAATTACGCTAAAGTCCAATGAGAAATTTAAGTTCGGTAATTTATGTTGTTTCCTTATTGCTCTTCTAGCCCTCTCCACCTCACCGCAAGGTAACCGCTTGCGGAACTCAATACCGGTCAGCGGAGTACCTGCAGAATACACATTACACAAGTAGTCGTAGGAAAATAGATAATAAAGCTAAAGGTAGTAATTAATGGCATTTTAAGAAAATTATGCAGACCGTTACAACCTTGTCTCTCACTTATGTATTTACACTCAGCTTTTCATTGAGTTAGTGCATGCATTAGAACTTGACTAGAAATGAGATCAATAGGGGTTGACTGCGATTATTATTATTAGTATTAACATTGGTGTTAAATGTGACAGAGTTCTAATCCGTTACTAGTGCGGAGGAAATAAAATGAAGAGTATATATAAACAAAAAGCTCACATTAAACTAAACTAACCACACTGTAACTTAAGCACTTATATTTCTACGTTTTTTTAAATGGGTTCTCAAAATATTATTACGAAATAATGGCCTGACCGAAGAAACTCAATCATTTGTTATATTTTTTAACATTCAGGCCTTTAATTACTCTTGTAACCCAGTCNTCCCCCCCTTCTCCCTCACCTCCACCTCCTCCTCCACCTACCTCAATATTAGAGTACTATCCTCCCTGGCCCCCTCCAGAGCAGCAAACTGTCCATCTTCAAGAATACTTTTACCATCCTGAACAAAAAAGAAGAAATTTTGAAAACAAATTTTTTTATATGCAAATTTTTTAATACCGACCGGCGAAAAACCCTTTCCTGGGGCCGTGAAAGATGAAAAAATAGACTCAGTCAATTCAGCCTTTTGAAGTTTTTTTTTAAACAAACAAACACCAAAACGGACAATGCAATTATTAGAAAATGTCCCGATTAATATTCATCTATTTATCTATTATGAATCGCCGGCAGCCCCTAGAGGAAGACGACTACCACCTTTCTGGCAACCCTGTTTGTATACGAAAGTATCCGGCCAGGGTTGACTGTTAGCATGACATTATGCATAGGTTTATGCCCGGGCAGATGGGAGAACAAAGCACCAGTGGTCCTTTGTGCTCATGACTGAAAATCCCAGCAAAAGGTGAATAAAAAACATAATTCTTCAAGTCTTTTTCCAGGCTTACATTAGCCTTGTACTCCATTTATTCACGCTTACAGAAAATTCTTTTAACCTAGCTTTTCTCATTATGTGTGTGAAATAAAAACGAGTATGAGGTTGGAAACGACGAAAATATGTGGCCCCTAGATGTCCCATTTCATGTAATAGTAACATAATCATTGATCATTAATAAATATTAAATAATTATTTTGAATGTACAAAAGAAAAGTCCTACCTTCAGCACCATAATTTTGATTGATTTGATGAGGAGTTCCAATGTTACAAGTCTCACTCTATAATAATCAATCATTTACTCATATATTTGATTGATAAACATTTAGATTTCAAATCAATTCTAATCTATGAAGAGTTAAAAAAAAATGAGGAAAAAACAAGTTTGTTAAATTAGAGACTATTACCCTGTTTTTTATAAATATTTTAGCATTATCATTAATTTTTATTAAACCCCNCCACCCGTGTATTTACACATGGCTTTTTGTAATAAATTTAAGTTATCGTCTTGATCTAATATTCATGTATAGAATATTATCTTCAACAATTAATGCAGAGACTGATCTATAAACTTAATGATTCCTTGAATGCATTATTGAAAAATTAAGAAATGTATTGCTTGATTACTTGATTAAATGATTAGCTAATGGAATAGTTGAGCAAATGATTGATTGATTGATTGATTTTAAAAATGATTGATTAAATGATTGAATGATTGATTTTAGGATTGATTAAATGCTTGCTTGATTGATTGATTAAATGCTTGATTGATTGATTGATTAAATGATTGAATGATTTATTTAGAGATTTATGTAATGATTGATTGATTGATTGATTGATTGATTGATTGATTGATTCATTCATTCATTCATTGAATAATTCATCCTTTTATGTTTTACCTGCTACCATACTGACAGCCTGCTGTTACCAACTTTATGTATTTCTCCATCAAATGAACATTGTACACCTGAATAATATTCATTATTCATATACATATTACATACAGAAGAAAATTAATAAATAAATGGTTTTGTTGGACACTTGTTAATGAATTAGATTGTAAATAATTTAGGGAAAATACGGCTTTGTTGTTCACTAATTACATAACAACCATCTTCACTTTCAAATAGATGGTTTTGTTGGACACTTGTTAATGAATTAGATTGTAAATAATTTAGGGAAAATACGGCTTTGTTGTTCACTAAATACATAACAACCATCTTCACTTTCAAATAGACGGTTTTGTTGGACACTTGTTAATGAATTAGATTGTAAATAATTTAGGGAAAATACGGCTTTGTTGTTCACTAAATACATAACAACCATCTTCAATTTCAAATTCCAATTTTCCAACCAAGTGTTTAATAATCATAATTTGAACAATGAACATATCTTAAAACTACCAGTGTCCAACTCTAGTCTACAGTAATAATACTAATAAAACATGATAAATCAGAAAGAGAACAATCAAGTGTTCAAAACCTAATAATAATTAGAAGGATACCTTTTTCCCTCGTGAATTGACTCCATAGATATTAACGGACTCCAGCAACTCCTTGTTGATCCCGGTGTTTATCTTAACAATTTAATACATTTCAAATTTAAGAGAATCAATCTATTTCTAACACTCCGTCAAATAGACCTTTAAAGAAAAAACCATTTTCTCATAGAAAAATGTATTTTCTCCAATTTAGCGAGGGAAAAAAACATTTCTTCTAGTCCTTACATTCTGGGGGAAACAGGCCCGAAGCTAGGGGGGGGGGGCACACTAGATATTAATTGTTACCCTTTTTAAGTTTTTCAAGCCAAAAAAATTCTTGTGCCCCCCCCCCCTAGCTACGGGGCAGCGGGAAATGTTTTAGAAGGGGGAAATAACTTTTCAAGAAATAAATTTTTTCCCTGTAATAACAAACTTTTTATTTTTGCCTCCAAATGGAATATATATATATATATTCCTGTATTTACTATCGTTCTTTACCTGCATGGAGTAGATTAGACACAGTGCAAAGAGTTGAATATAATCATTGTCTGAATGATCCAAGAATTGAAAGAGAGCTGCAAGAAACGGACGGGATTCAAGGCTTACATCCTGTACTCCTATGAAAGAACGTTATAGAAGCTTTTATTTTGCGAAATTTAATTTTGTTTGTTTACATTTCCCCCATTAACTAACCTGCAAGACGTAGTTTCTCTTCGTCAGATATCGACATAGCGGACACTGTGTCACTAAATTAAGAGAAGTAAAAGGTTTAAAGTCATTCCTCCCCCGACCCCTTCTTCTAAATAAATCTTAATCGCGTGAATAAAGCAAAAGAAATTGATAAAATTCATTAAAATAAACATATATATTATACACTAGTATATAGTGTGAGATATATTATATCCTCTGAAGACTTACTTAAATTAGTGATATTATTCTGAAGTAACTATTTATTAAACAGAAAATCTCCAGAAAATCATATATTTCCCGAATTCAGCGAACAAATAACTCATATTAAAAGGAATTTTACAAGAGTTGGACGCTGGGGAGTTGGGAGATTCAGGGATGTATAGTTTCTTTAAATAATCAGATTTTTGAAAATCTCGAGATAAAAAATGTAAAATTGGACTTCAAAAGAAAAGGTTTTGAAACTTTTTCAATACTGTCCTGAAAAACCACCTAAACTTTTAATACTAGAGATTTTTCGTAAGGGGGGCTGGGGGGGGGGATCAACCCTTTTCTCTTGTCTTTACCTCTGCGAGGCAGTAGCGGAAGGAAGCCGGAAAGGAGAAGGAAGAAGGGTGAGTCTAGTGATACTTCCGGTATTACTTCCCTCAAACTAAACAATTACTTCCGGTATTAATTCCCTCAAACTAGTGAAAAAGACATTAACTGGCAGAAGGCAGTTGTAGCTTTTGCACAACAAATTAAACTTTTTAAATAAATGATAAAAAATATTCTTAGCTTTGATTCACTTAAAAAAAGTTTTAACAATTTCTTCTATTTACAAATTTTCTTTCTAATTTTTTTTCAAAGAAGTGAAAACTTAATTAGCATTAATTCTGATGAAATCTTCTTAGCACCTAGTTAAAACATCTTTGTTGTATTGACTAATCAGTGCTTTGGTCCCAGATCTGCAACATTTTAGCTCACTAGATCTGAATCCAAGTGATAAACTATTCACATCGGGGGTAACGCAGACATTTAAAGTGTCAACAATCTTTCAAAATTGTAAATTTAGTTTCCTAATGAATAATAATGTAAAAGAATCACTCAATTTTTTTAAAAAATTTGTTTAAAAACCGAATTATTAAGAAATATCCGTGCTGGAATCAGATCCATTTTTTTGTTCAACAGATCCGGCATCCAGATCAACATCAGAAAGAAATGATTCCAAAGCACTGACTGTATTATGAACAAAATTTAACAGTCTTAATCCATGAATATCAATAAAATGGTGACCTCTACATCAGAATCAGTTTCCGAGGTTGTGCCTCTGATGTTGGCCTCCAATAATTTGTCAAGGCTGTCCGGGGGGGCCATAAAGCTAGGCTTAACCCTGAATACCCAGTATGTTAACGTTACAGGGAGGGAAAAGGGGGAGAGGGGACAAAATAAGATTTAATTTACATAAACGTATTACTAGCCTCGAACCTTGAGTTTTTTTAACCAGGGGTCAAAACTTTTGAGTTGTTAATTCAAGACAAAACAGTTATCTGTATCTTTTGTCGCTAAAAGGGATAAATTAATTCGTCTTATACGTTCTATGGTCAGAACCCAGGAGAGCGATATCAAAAAATATCCTAAAACTTTAAATTTGTCAAAGTGGATATCGAGATCACGCGTTAAAAGAATTGTAGATTACCGTTTAAGAAGAAATTTTGACCTCAGACGGATTAACTGTAGATAATTTAAATGCAGGCTATTTTTTCTAGCTAAGTTCTTTGTTATAATATCCCAGCTCTACGATATCAGGTTGCAAAGGTTGTAAGGATTGAAATGTATGAGTAATCGGTTCATTTGCATGTTGGGGATTTATAAAATATAATATTAGAATATCAACTTTTAAAGGGACTTTTAAGGTTCAGCCTACACCCCCTTAAATTTTAACTTAACAGTCCCTTTAATGAATGAGGAAGTTGTGAGTGTGAAAATGTGATGAGGGATAGCTTATATATTTAAGAACTAGCTTGGAAACCAACTCGGAAATTTTAAACCAAAGAAAAACATTCCCCGGGTTCTCCCGAGTTCCCCAATCAAAATTTGAGGCTAATCGGTCAAGGGGTTCATGCGTTATGAACGGACATACAAACAAACGGAGATTTCTACTTTATATATGTAAATATGTAGATATTAGATAATGGTATTTCCTTGGTCTTCTGCTGGGTGATGTAATGTATAAAGTTGCTCCACGCTCAGTAAACACTTCAGAATCCCCGGCCACGATAATCCAGGCTAGTAATCTCACTGAACAACAATATAATCCATTTTTTTACACAATTTTAATTGACTAACTATCCATTAGAAAAAATCTAAAAGGACATGTTTGATTCACAACGATGCCCTTAAAACCCATAATTTCTCTTTGAAAATTGATTAAATTCAAACGTAACCCTGAGGAATTGTGTTACAAAAACAATGAAGAAAGTTTAACACTATTCCGGCCAGTAATCTTTCTAAACCCCATTTTAATACCATTGCTATTATTTTTTTAATTCTACACATTTTCCAAAACATACATGGTGTCCAAAAAAAGTAGAAGGTCGATTTTGGACCAACAAATTTGGTTTTTTAAAGTATAATTTCTACTGTGACTTGGGGTCTGTAAACCTACCAAGTGGGTAGTGGGTGATGATCAGAAAGACTTGACAAAGAAGGAAAAGAGCAACTACTGGAGATACAAAGGGTTTCAACTCTTCAACACTTGTAGCACACGTCCTGTATAGAAAAATTGGTTAAGTTACATCGTATAAACGCAATATCCACTCGGCTGAACGTCTGACCTACTAACTTTCCGAACTACAACAGTGTGTCGACAATTTATGGACCGAGTGCTGCGGTCAGGACAGGCTAGGGGGCCGGGCGGGCGCTGCGGCCACATGTCCAATTTACAGCTATTAAACCACGTGATAGTAGGTCGGACGTGGCGTAGGTTAGAAGTGGATTATAGAGGATATGCGTACTGCTAATTTAAAATTCAGTGATGGTGATGGACCAAACCTCTGTAGAGTAAAAAAGTAGCTGTTAGTTCCACATTTATTGAAAATATATTTCGGTCTGGGTTGACCCTCGTCAGTTCTTGAGATTGTTTCTTCACAAAGATTAAAAACAAAATGCATACTGCGTAAGTCGAAATATACACCATCTAAAATTTTGATATGTAGGATTAAAGGGAATATTCAGATATTTGTAGAAGTAACGTTAAAGTCGCAAATATGATTAATCAAAAAAAAAAACATAGGGCCGGGCTATATATTTTGAAGAACTGATTTTGGAAGATCTTAGGGAGAAATATGAAAAATATTAAGAACGGCCACTGACAAGTTTTTCCCACTTTTCGATGAATTTTACCTAACTATTCATTAATAACTCCCAAGAAATCAACTATCTTATCTAATTCATGGAATAAAGTCCAAATACTTTACCCTAAACCAAAAAGTATTTATTTTCAAGAGGTGCTGGGGCCAAAAATTAACGTAAAACTGTCAATTTAATCAGTTTCAAGCAGACTTTTTAGCGAAGAATTTATTTTCAATGGAACTATTTAATTTCAATTGAAATATTTGCTTTAAATTCTCACTGTGGCCCTATCACGGTCTGGGATGTCCATTGGCGGGATTAAAGGTCCGGCAGTGGAATAGGTATTGGGATGGTGCTTCCCATATCTGGCGGCGATCTGGGGGGTCCACATTGGGGTCTCTAACAGATTCCATTTCCTTATGTTCATTACGGGATCCTTAACAGATTCAATTGCTTCATTGTGTTAATTACCTTGCTAAAGAGTACATGTACAGTGGAATGAAAAGCCTATTAAGCAGATGATCAGAGAGAACCTGAATATTAATTCCAATTAAAAAATATAAAATAATTCACAATTGAGAGAAAAGCTACTTGAGTAGTCGACCCTAGAAATAATTTTCATCATCGGCCTATGGACGGGTGAATAATATATTACTATACATCCTAGCTCTAATTTGAATTAAGAAACTAGTAAGCAGCTTAGGATCAGAAGAATCAGACAGAAAAACTTCTTCTCAAAATGTTTGGCTTATATTCACATTGGAAAATGTACCTAAAATGATCATCTTAAGTTGGTTCGATGTCAAAAAAAGATATAGGATAAAAGAAGACTTGAAACATCATAATTATTGAAGGTTGTTTAACATTTCCATTTAAATAAATTAATGTTCTTTCAGAATTGATATGTATGCATCCTGTAGGATAAAATATAAAATTATTGTCATGGGTGCATACTGCATACTGCATACTGTACAGAAGGTGATTGATTAGTTACTTATTTATTATTCTACAATTACAATTTCAATTGATTGGAGGGTAACTTTTTCAACCATTTTATTTAAGAGATAAAAATGTAGCATTGGGGAGTAAAAGATTAAGGGGAAGATATGATTTTTAAAAAAGAAAAAATATATGACCCTGAAAGTAATCTGAAAAGGTGCTACATAAAAATCATACCCAGCTGGGTGTAAAATTTTAAGAATTACAACCCCCTTCCCCCCCACCTCGAAGGGTGAGGGAATGNCAATCAATGAATCAATCCATTTGTCCATTATTTCAATGATCCTTTAATGCAATTAATCCATTATGTAAGTCAGTAAATTTATTCATTAACCCAAAAATATCTTTCCATTTATCGCATAATCTATCAAAAATCCATTAAAATCAATTTAAAACGAAACTTATAAGTATGCGGGATTAAAAACTAAAATTATTATACCTTCAGTTTATTTAAGCTCTGATGGTCCGCATCATTTCTGACACATGCATCAATATCAAGAATATGGCTTCCTGAAAGAAAAAATGGTTTATACACGGGTATATGTATTCTTGTAAATTCATAAAAATCGGTAAAAATAAAATCACTTTAGAAAGTAAAAAAGTTTCAAAAAGTATCAAAAATCCTGGAGTAAAGAAATTATTTGCATATTTCTTAGGTCTCAAATATTTAATTTTATTTGGGG